CCGGGGATCGAACCCAGGTCCACAGTTTCAAAGTCTGTGTTATATTCCTCTGCACCATCCAGCCACATGCTCAATTTATAATGAAACTCATACATGTCATCAAAGGTGTATTCAGCTATATATAAAAAAAAGTGAAAACCCTCACCTGGTGACACCAGGTATTCCAGTACCTTCTGGTACCAGGTGTTTTTTCTAATGCATTTCAATTGTGCTTGACCCCTGAGCTGTTCTGACAAACAAAGGCCTTTATGTAGTGATGAAATGTTTAAAACATTGAGTTTGTACTGTTACTGATGATAGTGATGTGTAAACATTTAGTTGTGCAACAGACTTTGCACTGTAAGAGTGACTACTTTGTAGCTGCTTTTAAGGAAAACCTGTTTGTTTGTGCTAACATGTAGCTCATTCCATTCATTGTGCCTTAATGCTATGGTCAAACACTTAAGGCACTTTTTTGCAACACTTACTGTACTTTCATTGTGAGCTAAAAATTAATTGTGCTGTTGTAATAGTCACGTTCATTGTGAAGTGTATTTGATTGCTGTAAACCTTCCAGAATAAAGAAATGAAATGGTTGGAATATTGTGTGATATGCATTTATTTCCAGAAATTGAGCAAAAAAAATTGTGCATTGTCAAAGTCAATGGTATGGTATAGGTAAAGAAAGGGGAAAAAATATTTTTTGATATCTTTGCAGAAGTGGAGGAGGAAGATTAGGGCCTTTGTTGAATCCTGTGAGCACATGTGGTTGACAGAACTATTGTTGTGAGTATGTGATCTGTCCATCTTTAGTTAGTGTTAAAGTAAAGCTAAGAGTTACTGTTGTAATTTGACGTTTTGATGTTTTTAAGTATCTATGGACTTTGTGATTGACTGCATGTTTTGCTATTAAGAGTAAAAACGTGTTCGGTTCATTGTGGAAGTATTCTGGTTGGGTTTTTAGGTTAACTTTGGCCATGATCTAAACACATGACACATTTTAAAAACTTGTCCACAGAGAAGCTGGGAAAAATAAAACTAAATCACACTCTGTCAAACACTTACCGGTTTAAAGATGGCTTCGTGGGCAATTCATTGCGTTGTATTTGCTCTTCCCAGCCCCGATGTTCTGTAAACATTTCACAACTCTCTGTAAATGCTGTCCAAACGTTTCATTTCCGCTGACAAAAAAACTCGACATGTTTCTTTTCTTACCCGAGCAGCTCAAAAATGACCAGAACGATGTCATTCACGTAGCAGAAACCAGATGATTCGGACTTGTCATCGTCGTGGAGTCCACCGGGTCTGCTGCTACACCTGAAATTATTTACTCGGCTCAAACAGGCTGCTGTTTAGCACGCTAACCGGCTGCCCCACTCGGCGGGTCAGCAGCGTGCAGACGGTTTAAAACAAACCGACAACACACTCGGCGGAATACAGCCAAAGTGAAGAGAACCAGAGATGGTAATACGTACCGTCGTAATAATAGCAAACACTTTTTTTCTCTCTCTTTCTCTCACTGTGCCTTCACACAACGCCATTTTGCAATCACCGGAAATTGCTACCACTTCCTCCCGCCGTTATCCAATCACAGGCGGCATCAACAATCCACCAGTTTGTTAATGGGTAGATACACACAGTCGCTGCAGACTATTGTCAGTGCAGCTAAAGGAAAATTCCAGCAACTTTTACACTGAATTATGCAGCAAATACTGATCCCATCAAATGTGTGCAAATGTTACAAAAAAATGACCAAGAAACGAAGCAGCAACACATTGTTTGCCTCTATCTGTGACAATACCGATTTAGTTTTAGGAACTGACATCTTTTGTCTGCAGCTTCGTTGCTTTTACTGTCCAAAGGAAAGGGGCGCTCTAACTGGTAGCAAGCAAGACTACAGTCTTACTATCATGAAAAATGCAAGAATGCTAATAAGTGAATCATTTGTGCTAAAAACTCAGAAAAGCATCATATCGTTCTGTAGTGTAGCAGTTAGCATGCCTGCCTCAGCAGCAGAGAGTCCTGGGTTTGATTCCCAGAGACACCACATGTTTGGCGCCTGCTAGGGGCAGCCTGTTAAGAACATATCTGCTGCTAACACAATGATTTCCCAAATATTGGATAAATATTTTATAATTATAAATCATTATATCTGAAATGTTTTCCTAATGCGGTGATTCCCAACCTCTGTGCCGTGGCACACTAGTGTGCCCTCAGAGATCATTAGGTGTTATCCAATGTCACTTAATTGGTCCCAAAATATTATTTATTTATTGCAAATATTTTTTCTTTGTTCGTCAATGCGTGACAGGCAGAACAATTCAATAATTTTCCACTAGGTGGCAGCAGATGGTTTTTAAAACTATAATTGTTGAATAAGTTCTTTGTGAGTGTTTTTCTTCAATTCCTGCCGCTATATAAGTGTTGTTTTCAACTAAACTGGAGTACATTTTTAGTCAATTTAAACTAGAAGATTATTTTATTTCATTACATATACTTTTGTGTGTGAGATCTTTGTTTGATGAGGTGGGGGTTTTTCCTGATGATATATGTGTGCCGTGGCTCAGAAAAGATGGGGAAACACTGAGGCACAAAACGCCTAAATAACTGGAAACTTTACAGAATCTTTGATGCCTACTGTACGTTAGCTACGTCTTTAGATAAAATGTCCCGGAGGACAGAGAGACGGACGCAGGCACGTCTGTACAGATTTATAGTCAAACTCCTCTTAGTGATTAAGATGAGAGACGGGTCAAAAAAGACAGGTGGGAGGATGAAGGTGATGATCGATGACATGGGAAGAGCCATTGCATTTGTAGTGGGAAGATTGATTCTTATAAATGACTAGAGAGAAACTGGGTGGCTTCTGTTCTGACACTGAAGATCCTTCAAGGCTGCCTGTATTCAGACCTGT